TCTCTCTCTCTCTCTCTCTCTCTCTCTCTATCTCTCTCTCTCTATCTCTCCCTCTCTCTCTCTCTCTCTCTCTCTNTATAAAAGACACCTGTCCACAACCTCAAACAGTCACACTCCAAACTCCACTATGGCCAAGACCAAAGAGCTGTCAAAGGACACCAGAAACAAAATTGTTCAACAATTTTGTTTCTGGTGTCCTTTGACAGCTCTTTGGTCTTGGCCATAGTGGAGTTTGGAGTGTGACTGTTTGAGGTTGTGGACAGGTGTCTTTTATACTGATAACGAGTTCAAACAGGTGCCATTAATACAGTGGAGGACAGAGGAGGCTCTTAAAGAAGAAGTTACAGGTCTGTGAGAGCCAGAAATCTTGTTTGTTTGTAGGTGACCAAATACTTATTTTCCACCATAATTTGCAAATAAATTCTTTAAAAATCAGACAATGCGATTTTCTGGATTTTTTTTTCTCATTTTGTCTCTCATAGTTGAAGTATACCTAGGATGAAAATTACAGGCCTCTCTCATCTTTTTAAGTGGGAGAACTTGCACTGACTAAATACTTGTTTGCCCCACTGTATGTGTTGCTAATGTTCTCCAGCTGAGCAGATCTAGCCTGCAATCTTTAGTTAGCAGTGCACTTTTCCCCGGTGAATGTTTGTTTGGTCACTTGTTCAACATGCAATTGTGCAACAACAGATGTGTTTATGTTGCAGGCAAGATAAGGAGACGTCAGCAGGAAAACGTATGTTGGTTTTTGTTCAGAGTCTGTGGCACTGTAGCATAGCAGGCAGCTATCTAGCTCACTGTATCTTTCTGCTCTGCTTATTATAGAAAAATTACCACTTTATTCAAGATTTGATTGCCTACATGGAAATAATGTCTCCATACATGTATATGAAAACCGGAGCAGTATTATTTATCTTCATTCAACGAAAAGAATAATGAAAATATATTTTCTCCGTTTGGTTTTTGTTTGATTTTTCAAAATAGAATACTACTATCACTATATAATATGCTTTAATAGACACATATTTTTCTGCAACAGTCAAAAAGAGATTGTGTTCCATAACAGATTGCTATGTGTCTCTGTGCTTCACTCAGCTACCATAATCCCTTTCAGTAGTTTGCAGAGGATTCTAAAGGTGGTTTAATGTCTCGTACAGCAGAGTGGACACATATTCACAATGAAATGACCTCTCCTGTTCTTTGTGCCTCTCTCGTTCCCCTCAAAAAGAAACCATTTTTCAATTTCTCAGATACATTTCCATCATTTCTGTTTTGCCAATTCATATATGTGTCAATATCCCAGGCAAACATCCCTCCTGTGGTGTGCGTTGCTGTGTATCTCTCTAGGTGATCTATTGGTAGACAGCAGCATGCTCAGCCCTGCTGGGTTTAATCATGTTTGTATTATCTCTTCTAATCAAACATTTTCATCTCTCTTTTCATTTCCGTTCTCCCATTTTTTTTTTTTAAATCTTCAAGTGCTGGCTCACAAAAGGTCCCTCTCTGAATTTAGATGGATGGTAATCATAGTTGACAATGTAAACATTTTAGCTTTTTCCAGATGGGCCGGGTGCAATTTTCCTGTGCTGTGGAGTGTGCCGTGGAATTAAGTTGTCAAACTCAGGGGCAGGCACAAAGGTGATGTCTTCCTCTGCATATCCTGTCTCTGACATTGACGCACATCTTAGTCCCACCACATACCGGCATGACGATAAGCAAGGCACACTGGAACAGCAGCTTAACAGTGTGAACATACAAAACATATTCCTTCATAGACTGTTATTAATTGACTAAATAAGTGTCACGCTAATGAAACTAATCCATCATGTGTATGAATGCAAGTTTGTGTACGTACATACACGGGTGTTTATGAGCATTAGCACCCAAGTATAACAGGGCAGAGAGATGGCAGTGATGAATGACTGCAGTGGTTGTTACTGTGGAAACTGCAATGAATGTGTGCCAACAGCTGTAATGTAACCGCTGGAGAAGTCTCCACTTTAAGGATTACACTCTGTTCTCCCCGTAACTGTCATACGGGAAAACGTACTGTTCAGTCCTCTTGCCACATAAAATCTAAAAGATACATTTATTTGCTATTTTTCTGCCACACGAAGCCCAGTTTGTCCTGCAGTGTGTGAGAGCTGTCAAAGGGATACACGCCGTAGCCTCAGTTATCTAGTCAGAGCAGAATAAGAATAAAGCGCTCCCTGGGTTTGGCTGCTTTGATAGATTTTAGTAGATTAACAAGAAAAAAGTGTTTATTGTGCTTGATAGTCAGGGATGATAGTGATCAATCAAACAAAAGAGTTTCAAACAAAATGTCTAATAACAGAACCATTAAAGATAAGTATGCCATGCTGATAGGATCAGCCAAGGTAAAAGACAAAAAACACTTACTCTTGTATAGCCTACCTGAGGGTAACACCTTTAAACACGCAGCCACACACACAAAGCCCCCAAAAGTACAACCCCCACACACACACACACACACTCAGAATTGTTCTAACGACTTATTGCATATTTTTAAAGTTTGTTTGTCTCCAAAATAATAGGCTAAACACAAACAATTGTAATTCAATGTTTATATTGTGAATGGCCATTTCAACATGGGGTTTTTCATTAAATGTATAATAATGAGAATTTTGAAGAATCTAAGTGTTCAGTATGTATTTGTTGTGCTTACCAAACTCGGGTTTAATGTGGTCATTGTTGCGGTTTTAAAAATAATATATAGTTGGAAGTGCAACTGAACCTCGGTGTAAAAATCTGTAAAAAAGGCTTTTATTGAGATGTTCTTCCTGAAACACGCATCACTCATGGTGAACCGCTACCGATGGAGGGATTAAGGACTACATACTGCACTTACTGACTACATAACTACTACATAACTGACTACATAACTGTTGTTGTTAAGGTCAGCATTTTAACCCTCACCTTGCAGAGGGAGCTGAGGTCGAAGCCATATGATTGGGCGTTGCGAGAGCCTGCATTCATGTAATTTCCCAGCAGCAGAACCAGCTCCAGCAAGCGTCCGAAAGAGCGGCTCTTCCTGACCTCGTCACACGCAGCGTTCACTGCCAGGATGTCTGGACGGATGTTGTTAACCTGCTCCTCAAACTGCAGCCGGAAGAGGATGTTGCTGAGACGAGGACGCAGCCGCTTCACACTGCTCATCTGGAAGAGGAAAAGAGAGATAAAGGATACAAAAAAAGTATGAAGCAAAAAAGAATAATACTAAAATGAAAATAATAGAAAAGAGAATAAAGGAAAGCTAAAGGAAATGATGTTAAAAAAGAGGGAACAAAATTAGAGGCCAGAGACAAACTTTAAATAACTACAATAACACGTTTGGCACACTCTCACATTAGGCCTATCTAATTTAAAATACATTTATGCAACCGACATACTGAAAAGTGTTGCTAGGCAGTAGTAATAGATGCTGGCACTGATTTGATTTGGGACCCAGGTCTGGTAAGTTAATTGTGAAGTTAGTGTCCATATAGGGCAGGCAGCAGAGGGGGTGGAATATACAATAGGCCGCCTTGGATTACCACTCTCACACAATTAGAGAAAATTGGGGAATATTGCATTGGGCCGAGGGCCTGGCCACAGCCATGAGTGTGAATGTGTGTGTATGTGTGTGGGGGGGTGGGGGTGGGGGCGCAGGTTCCAATTGTCTGTTTCACACAACAGCTGGCTGTGCGGTTTGATGTCCTCCATCCAGGGTTTAATTATAGCTACTGTAATTTTATCAAATGACTATTTCAGTCGGTGAGTGAGCGTATGAGTGAGCGTGTGTGTGTAAGTTTGTATGAGAGAAATAGAAAAGAAAGACACGTAGAATAATATGACAACATTAAGAAGAACCAAGGTGCACAAGAACCAAACATAATGCTGAAAGGGAGCCCAGAGATGGGATAGATTATGTGATAAGGATATTGAAGTGGGTCGAACGTAATCAAAAGGAAGATAGAAAGCAGAATATGGCCTTCAGAATGAATGTCTGCAGCTGCTTGTTAAAGGCTACAGAGGCCATTCTACAAAACTGAGCTCCTGAAGGTCGTATTTAAAAGAGAAGGGGAGGGGTTCAAACATAAAAAATGGACTATGAAGATGATGTTATATACCGGTAAATGATTGCATCATGTTGCAAACCTATTGAGATGTGGGATGGTGAGAGAGAAAAGACTAAGGTTGTTCGGATTGATCATCCACCAATCATTATTGGTCTGTATAACAGCCGGTCAGATGATGCATTGATTCTGAAATTGAAATGTGTAATACCAATGTTCCTGCTTTCTCCCATGTTCTTGTATTGTCTCTAAAATAATCTACGTAGCGCAGCAGGCTCGGCGTCTCTTGTCTTTTTTTTTTCCGTGAGCCGAGGGTCACTTCCATTTGTAATAGTATTTTTTTTTAACACGTATTTTTTGCACATTTTTGTGTTTTGTCTAAACAAGAAGCCAGAGAGACACGCCAACAGAAAAGCATAGGCAGCCTAAAACCCACCGTATAAACAGCGCAGAGTAGCAGAATCGCTGGTTGAACAGCGTGGAATAATTTTTTTTAAATAGACTCCTGATCTGGAATCATATTAGTCAATACTGTTTTAAGCGATCTGCCCCAAAAATCCTGGTCTGAGCAGCCTAACAGTGAATTTACTCTATGGAAATATTTTCCAAGGCCCATAAGTTTGACCCAGTTTATCAGTTCAAACTGTCCTGACTGAGCACACGCACTGTAACCTTGACTGCTGTGCTCTCAGTGTTCTGTCTCCCTGTTCCTGCCTGTTGGCGTCAGCTGATAGAGGTGTTATGATTCTATCTTGTTATGCAGCATGTTGATTATTTTCTCTGAACTAGCTAAACACACGGGTGTTCAGCTAGTTCAGAATTGACGTGGCAACTCTAGCGTGAAGTCAGAACCTCTGACTCTTTGACTTGTTTTGTGAATTCTCCAACCGAGGCTCCTAAATAAACCAGCAGTGTTTGACATCAAAGCTCCAGCTCTCCTCGTGTCTCCTTCATGAGTCGGTGACTCCTCCTGCATTACTACACAGAAGTTTCCCCAACACTCTACATTCCTCTCATGTGATCAAAAGTTTTATAATCATGAACCATAAAGTGTAAAAGCAAATGAATCTGAGTAAATATTTTGGTAAATACATGTATTTGTGGAGCCTCAACAACAATGTTGATGAAAAACCTTAATTCAAAGACATGGCAGTCATAGGGACCGTTACCGCAGGTGAGCCAGCAGCATGACCACGCAGGAAAACACTCTTTGGAAATCATCAACCACAACTGACAGCTATTGTACTGTATAACATTGACTATGCATGAATAATCTAAACTTATTGTATGGAGATGGATGTACATAATTAGTCTGTTGTAAGATCAAGGGCTTTGTTTGCTTCTTTCCTGACTTCTTGTCAGAAGGAAACATTAAACGTGTTCATATACTACAGCAGCTGCACAAAAAAACAACATATATATATATATATATTAACCTAGTGACCAAGGCAATGTAAGAAATGTTACAATGCAATTAGATATTTTCCCATTTAATGCTACTATAAGCAAGGTTAAGTTCAAATCTAGTATGAGAGTGGCACACATGGAACCAGAAGAGATAAAGTGCATGCGTTTGCACAATGGTCAATTAAAAATTCCCTTTGAACCGGGCCTTTCTGATAGGTGAAAGCACACAGGCCTCCTTGGGCCCACGCAGGCACAGCAGCGATACAACATTATATAAACAGGCCCCTCTTTGTTCTACGTCTCCCTGATGAACACTAAACAACAGCTGAGCATGCTCTATTTTTCTCCCCCTCCCCTCCCAATCAACCTCTCAGTCACTGCGTTTTCAGTCAGTGATAAGATTCTCTTTCATGTGTATATGCTAAACAGGTGGGTGTTTTGGTGCAGAAGTAGATGAAGATTATTTTATTTTTTGTCATTAACTTGGTTGCTAGGCAGAAACACAGAATTCACAAAAAGGGCTACGTTTCCCATGAATAATTTAAAATAAACCTCCTTTGAAAAGACTTTAAGAAAATGATGCAGACGTAATTAGGCAGCAGTGCTTCTCTTTAATGTGCATACATTAGTGCTGCAGTCTACAGGTGTCTTGTCATTCCTCTTACTGTACGGCTTAAAAAGATTTTAAAAAGCTTGGGATTAGGATATTCACATTTAAGTGCTCCGTTTGTGTGTGTGTGTGTTTCCAGGAAACCAAGAGAAAGGAAGAGATAGGAGGCAAACACAAGACAATTTACATGAATATGACATTTACATAGTTATAAACCAGCTCCATAAAACTCTGTTGCTTCATTTTACACACAGTTAAAGATCCTGCATGAACAAAAACACTTCAATATAGTGTGTGTGTGTGTGTGTGTGTGTGTGTGTGTGTGTGTGTGTGTGTGTGTGTGTGTGTGTGTGTGTGTGTGTGTGTGTGTGTGTGTACTTACCACAACCCCAAACTGCTCAGGCTCTGACAAATTGGCGTACTCGTTTTTAAACTTGGCCAAGGCGTTCAGCTGCTCTTGTTCAGGTAGGTGCTTCACAAGGTTCTACAAAAAAGAGAGAAGAAGAAAAGCAGTGAGAAGCAATATGGAGCAAAGCAGAGAAAAGCAACTGGTTATTCATCAAATGTTGAATGATCGTTTCATGATGCCTGAGACACTTAGGTATAATAAGTGTAGTTGGTGTGGCATTATACCCTTCTTATTTCATCTTTTAATGTCTTAACCATGTAGAAAATGAAATAATCTAAAGTTTTTATTAAACTCTTTGCCATTGGGGGATTGTCTGTAATGGCTCTCACAGCAATGTGGTTGCCTGCAGTCCATGCCTCCAGAGCAATTTGGTGTTTTCTCTAAATGTAATTATAAGAGCCCTAGGACTACAACTTTGTAGTGCGCAGTCTTGTTAGGAAATCGAACCTACTGCTGTTAGACTGGCTGCATATTTGTGTGTCAGGTGTTTTACTTTCAATAAAAATAAAGTTTTGTGACTCCAATTAAATGTTTGTTACTATCAAGCAGGAGACTATATCCTTAAGGCTATTTATACGTAAAATGAAAGTGATTGGGGTTTTTAGATATCCAAAAGGAATACATGGTCAATTATTTAAGCCATGTCCATTAAATTGCCTTCTCTGAATGTAACAGCCATATCAACAAATACTGCTACCATATGGTACATATATAGGTCTGATGCATTCAAACTCGGCTGAAAATCTGTTTCCAACGCCTGAAGTAAAAACAAATATTGCCACTTTGAATACCTGAGTTAAATGGCACTTTATTTAATCAATTTTAATTATCTGCAGGTTGTAATTAACAATTATTGATCAAATGAATACTATAATTTCTTTGACATCCGTAGTTAATGTTTGTTTTGGTTCATTATTTTTAGCTAACGGTTTAGTTAATCAATCTAAAAGCTTTATAGGCATTCCTTAACTTCCTCTTATTCAACCTTTTAAATTATTGGTACGGCTGATTTAAAGTTAGCTTGAAGAATTTACACTGTATGCTTGATTTTAGTACAGTAGAGTATGTTGGGGAAATATTTTCATCGGCCCATAACTTTGACCCAGTTCATCAGTTTGTACTGCCCAACCTTGGCTGCTGTGCTCTCAGTGTGTTGTCTCCCTGTTCCTGCCTGTTGGCGTCAGCTGATAGAGGTGTTATGGTTTTATCTTGTTATGCAAAATGTAGAGTATTCTCTCAGAACCAGCTAAATACATGGGTATGGGGTAGAGATATTCAGAATGGATTTGTTTGTCAACTCGTGGCACAGCACGTCTTGTGAATTCTCCGGCCGAAGCTCCAAATAAACCATCAGTGTTTGCCATCAAAGTTCCTGCTCTCCTCGTGTCTCTCTTGAGTCCTGTCTCCATTGCTTCAGAAGTTTCCACCACAGAGTATAGTTGAGTATAGTTTCCCCTTGTGGGATTTATAAATTCTCCTTCTTCTATTGCAATTATACTGCGATAATTCCCGACTGGCATGACTGCCCAGGAAGTCAATAGAGGCCTCCAGCTTGGAGAAACTCCTGCTGCCATAGAACTGACACAGGCTGCAAAACATGAGCACAGTTCCTCAAATCATCTGACACTGTTGACCCTCTCTGTCCTTACACTACTGTTAGTAGCTTAAGGTTTGCTGACCAGTTGTTGCCGACTGTTCCCAGGGTCAAGCTGCAGAAAGAGGGTAAAAGTGCTCAAAACGTCTGTGACAGTCTCCCCTCGGAAATCAGCCAAGTAAACTCAGTTTCTTAGTATTTAACTCTAAAACATATTTTCACTTATTGTCTTTTTATTTATTTCGGTTCATTAACATGGATTCTCTTCTAACCCATTCATCATTAATTCATGTTTTTATGCAAATGTTTATTTTTTCATTAGCATATTATGCAAATCCATGCCATTATCACAACATTAAATACACTAAAATGTATAAATATGAACATGAAATGAAATAATTGTCAAAAATAACAAATTTGACAGTAAGCGTGCCTGAAAAAAATAGATAAGTAATAAATAATAAGAGTCCAAAATGCAGTAGTTCATATACTGTACCTTAAACTTGAGCCTAACCAAAGTGCACTGAAACGATCAGTAGATATTAGTAAATCCACGTATGGGGGGACAAAAGGTACAAATGCAGAGAGACAGTTTTGCAGTTATTTAGAAAAACGGCATCACGTGGTTTCTCACTCATTGCACCTTCCTCCTATTTGCTTTACCTAGCCTGGAAAAAGCTAAAAGAAATGTCACAATAGTTAGTCTAGCAAAAATCGTTTTAAAAATGAAGGCTGGAAGAAAGAGACACATTACCAACTGAGCAGGAGTAGGGCTGCACTTAAGGTACACTCCCAGCCTTGTGGTAAAGAGCCCCACAATGTACGGTAAGTTGAGAGAGGTTTCAATATTGATACTCGAGCTATGTACATGCAATTAGAGTTAGGTGGTCAGTCCAAGAAGGACATCTACTTATGGCGCTTTTCCACTGCAGCACGTAGCACGGTTAAAGCTTTTCCACTAGGGGTAGTTCCGGCACAGGGCTACTTTTTCACCTTTTTTCTGGCCCTCCAAAATCGAGGTTCTTACCGAGCCAACAACCGGGCTGAATATGCTAAACTAAAACTAGTGACGTAAACACTCTCGACTGCTGAATGGTCAGAGAGAATCGCTGGCAAGGGGGCTACAACTACAACAGAATGAACATATTTTACCTTGATTTAATTGTAATACACGTTTCAAAATGATACCGAAGTAACAACATACTGATACCGGTTAGTAAAAACCATGAATTAATGCTTTGACAAGTCTGCAGACAGACGGCAGGCGAAAACCTTTTAAAATGTGTGTTTTCTGAATGGAGATCGGCTAAGCTAACGCAGTATATGCTCCGTCCACACTCACAACAACGGCCTACAGACATAAATAAAGCAGCGACTGTATTCGCCATGACACACAGTCTGTGGTTTGTACTTTTTTAACTTTTGTCTAGTTTCTGAACAGATATGAGGAGCTGTGAGCTCTGAGTTGCTAACAGCTAACGGATGATGTTTTGATTTTATGGTTCGCATTGAAGATGACATCACAGCAGTTTTACGCAGTGTCGCTCCGCCCGCCGAACAGCCGATCGCCCCGCCTACACTGCGGTACTATAGTTACTACCCCAGGTATTAAACTGTAATGGAAACGCAGCATAAAGTGAGCATAGCCTACCAAGGCCGAACCATGCCGTGCTAGGTCCTGCAGTGGAAATATGCCATTAGTCTAAAGCTCTGATTATTTGTATAAATGTATGCACTGTGCTACCTGGATCATTGGTTCAGTGAGTTGCTCCTCATCCACTTCCACTATCATTCGACAAATTTCCTGATAAGGCATACGGAAGGATCCCAGGAAGATGGCTACAAAGAAACAATCAAAAGATGAAGCAAATGCTGGGATTAATAAAATATTGATTCACCAGTTATGAACAACATTGTTGCACTTACAGGCAATCGATCATACTTATCAATTATGTGAAACATACAAAGAATAGTGTGAAATATAACAAATAACAGCTCAAGGTCACATAAAGGACATTAAGTAGTAACTAAAAGAGAAAGTTAAATTAAAAAATGCATCATAAACAAGTCAGGGGAGAAAAGTTAAATGATACTGATCATCAAGCAAGGGGTACCACTTGGGACTGAATGGTGAATGTCTTGTCAGGAGAAGTCGTTAGTCGTGCCAGGGGTACCATGAGGAATACTGTCTCAGGGCAGTTCAAAGATGTGTGACTCGGCTAGGTCTCTTATAATGCAGAACCTTTAAGATTAATAGGAACATCTGAAAGTAAAAACTGTGGTAAAATGAATATCAGGTCAGAGTTTGAAAGTGTTTTGTATCTGAAGTGTTTTAGACAACAAATGATCATGCTATAGAGTAGAACCATTTCTTTTTTAAAACAGGCCTCTTTTACTATATCAGTATCCATTTTCTGCAAAAGGTTTATGATACAGTTCTGGTTCTACTCTATTGTTATGCTATAGAGTCGAACCAGAACTAACACTACAAAAAAACAGGCTTTGTTTACGATCTCATTGTTGATTATTATGTAAAGCTTTAAGTACAATTTCAAAAAGTGGACTGACTACAGAAATTTAAAAAAAAGTCACTGGTGACTCAATGTGATGTGTGGGTACCTTTTTAGCAAAAATGTAATTCTAATTCTTCACATGGCAAACTAATGCACTCACATTAATAGTGACCATCAATCAAGAAACACAATTAAAACCACACAAACTCATTCTCAACTCAAAGCTGTTAGACTCTTTACCTCCTATGGTGTAACACATAAAGCGCCTACTCTCCTTTTTTTTTCTTTCCTCGTTCCCGTTCTATAATTTCCGCTGTGTGATTTATCACTGTTACTGGGCTGATTAGTCTCATTTTGCTTTAATACATGAAACAAAGGTCAAAGCTTCCCTTGATATAAGCCAATGAGGTGGGAAGATATGGGAGTGCTTAAGAGATCAGCTGGATCCTCATTAAAGCTGTGTGCTTTCAAAACGGACATTTTAAGACCAAACATGGGACGTGCAAAGACGTACAAGAGAGAGAGAGAGAGAGAGAGGGAGAGATAGAGAGAGAGAGATAGAGAGAGAGAGAGAGAGAGAGAGAGAGAGAGAGAGAGAGAGAAAAAAATACATTTTCTTGCTTATGATCAGAATTTAGCAGTTAGATATTTTTTTCCTCGGGTTTCTTTTTCCTTGATGGGTGCTTAACAAAATAATTAATTATAATTAGCTCAGTGTTTTTGAAGACATGAGTCAGAGCTACTTGTGGCCAGGTGTTTTCTTGCTTTAATTGCTCTAGCAACATACAAAAGGTGGAACTCATTCCCTTCCAAAATGCTCCACGGGGGTCACTTTACGGCATGAAAAGAACATCTAATAAGGGCTACAGGAGGCGACTTGTGAGAGATAAAGGGGCAAAGTCTGTTTCAAGGACCTGCGGAGGCTAAAGCAGAATGAATGCCCATTAGACAGTAACATCTAGACACATGGAAGTGTATAAATCCAGTCCATGGGAGGAGGTTTGGGCCTAAGGGAAACAAATACTTACATAGATTTTGTGCAATCTTAGCATCGAGCACCTTGAGCTCTTTAATTCTCTTCTTTATAGATTTCTTATCCTCCAGATCCTCCTCTTCTTTTTTGGCTGACGAGGACAGAAACACTGAATTATTATTAACACACACACACACGGTAACATTTACACAAATGCACACACTTACTTTTTTGCTAACAGATGTAGGACACAAATATTTAGATATCACGATGAACTTATATATTACTACATGAGGAGGGGGGGAAAGTGACTGTAATGTCCAGATGTGTTTATGTCTTTTTTGCATTGTGATACTGCACTCGTTTTGTGTTGTTGTGATTACATATATTTCCAAATGAATACAGTCCACCATGACAGAATGGTTTTCTGTCAGAGAGGCATGGAAAAAGGGATTATGGAAATGGAGTGATCACAGCAGGGACATACTGTATGTACGTATGGGTGAGCAATGGCAGTTCCATAAACACAATGCTGCGTATACAATAATCAGGTTAGAGGTCAAGGTAAATCTATTCTGGGTCACATGGAGCCACGTAGGTGGGAATGTGATGGTGCTATTGGTAGATAGGAGAGGCGTCATGAGGTCCGTATTACAAACAACAACAACAACAACAACAACAGGGAAACACAATATACACACTCAAACACACATCAAAAACACAAACCTCTCGAGCCACACTCACAAAGAGGAGTTCATGGTTGGTTTTAATTATTTAAGACACCAGATTAAGAGAACAAAATGTGCATCCCAGGAGTATGCTGGGTAATTGTCTGGTGCTGTAATTATGGTGTGGGGTGCGAGGAGAGATGAGGAGAAGTAAGGAGAGGAGAGGAGAAGAGGGGAGTAGAAAGGGGAAAGAGGAAAGGAGAGGCGTAGAAACAGGAGAGGGCGAGAGAATAGGAGAAGAGGAGAGGATATTTCTACTGATCCACATGGGCCAGGTCTTGTTTCAGGGACCCTGTATCTAATAAAAAATTGAAAAGGTATGTTGGGAGCTCTCGCAGAAAAGAATGTTAGCATGTCCACAAACATGCACACCTACAGTACAGCTGAGCGCACACAGAAACACACAAGCACAGCCACACTCGAGCTATCCTTGGACTTACTTGGCTCCTCAGTTGGAACACTCTCCTCACAGTCTTTGAACGTGTGAGAGGGGAAAACACAGAGGACAGACACGGAGGACAATGGAAAATGCAGTCCATGGAGTGGAGAGAATGAAGAGACAAAAATACATTTTCACAAGAATGCACACTGTCCACTGCAGCGTAAAACACGAAGAGACACAATTAAGAAGAAAAAAGGCTAGAACAACTTTAAATAAAAAAAGGGCTGAAAGAATAAACAAACTTGAGAAAAATGAAACTCGACATCAAACAATTTATTTGACTAAAAGTGATCTTAGCTAATATGAGAGCTAAAGTGATACATTATTTTGACGAGAGGACAACATGTGATTTGTAATTTTTACTCATCAATAATAGTATGGGTTTTGGATGGTTGGTTCGACAAAACATACAATTTGAATATGTCACCTATGGAAACAATGTGATGGGCAGTTTGTTTTATTTATAGGTCAAAGACTAGAACCATTAATCTAGAAGGTAATTGTCAGATGAATCCATAATGCCTTTTATTGCTGTTTGGGAGATGCATAAATCACAATATTAAAGTTTCCATATATGTTAGGCTTAATTTTGGCCAAATGCTTATAATAACAATAGACAAGACAGTGGATATAATGCAGCAATAAAGAAATATCTTGGATTTGAATAATTCATTCAATTTAGTCTCCAATACATTGCTTATATTATCAACCAAGGGGAAACATATTTGATCCTTAACATCTATTACCAAAAAAAAACGAGGTTCAAAGGGTTAGAACGACAGATAGAAAACCATTTTGACAACAGGAAAAGATAACAGCAGATTTGTTCAAATATACTTGAAGGACAACCATCAGTTTGCATCATCTTTCAATATTAAAGTAATCCTTCTATTTTATACAGCCTTCCATCTAGTAATGCTCATCATATGCCATGTTAAATTATATGGCATGAACAACATCAATAAAAATGTAAAGATGGCAGGATTTACCTCAAAAACCAGCATAAATAAGTGGAGTATTTATTCTAACGGGAATGTAATCTTGAATATGATGTTATTGGGTATTAGAAGGCAATATAAGGAGCGGGCCTTCGAAAGCCTCCAGCTTACTGCATTAAGATGTTGTATTGATCCACTCATCATAACTTATAGCTTCACAGAATCTCATGTATTACGCCAACACACAGTGAATCGCTCTCACACACACACAAAACAGGCAGTAGCAGAGCATTAACTACCCTGTTTCAGTGTATATAAACATACTTGACTGGGACTTATAATCCATGAATCATTCTCACGTATACTGCATCCATCTCAATCGTACGTGAGATAACGATAACAGAATATCACACACACACACACACACACACACACACACACACACACACACACACACACACACACACACACACACACACACACACACACACACACACACACACACACGCACACACGCACACACGCACACGCACACACACACGGTACACTCTCTCACGACGCGGCCCCAGGTGTTATCATTTAAATCAGCTAATTAGATTGCCCCCTTCCAACATCACCCCCAATCTCTGTGGCCTTAAAACAGCTCTTCTACAGGGGAGCCTGCTTATTATACATCAGCCAATTAAAATGTCCCACAGGGGGTCAGGGGTCACTGGTTAATCAATCAGAGGCAGAGGCGACGGTTGTAGTTATCAGATTGCAGAAGACCCAGGAAGTGCGAGAGATAAGGATACACTTACGAGTGCAAAGCAGTGGGGTGTCTGTTGCACATCACAGGTCGGACTGAAGACGCAGAGAGGTAAGGAACGTGGCAAAGGTGTGGTAAAACTGCAATAGATATTTTAGTCTGTAATGACAAACCCGTTGCTTGAGACTACAAAGTTGTACCAGTTAAGAAATACAAAGCTACGAGGAATAAAAAGATAGGTTACAAAGGAAGCCATTGATAAAGCGGCAGTGAACATCAGATGATAGGATCAGATACCGCCGCGAGGGAAAGCAGGACTCCATCACAAGGCAGGAGAGCAGGGCATTACAGAGAGACACCAACACTGAGGCAACAGACTGAGTTTAAAGGCTTGCTCTGCTCTGCCAGCAGACACGGTGCTAGCTGCCTGCCATCTGAGCACTTTTAAGTTAAGGCCTCTTAATGGAGGCCTGTGATAAATGTCAATTTGATGGCAAGACTGTGTAACAAGTAGGAGTAGAGATAAGGATGAATAATAGAGAGTGTAGGAGTTTCTCAATTTTCTTTACCTAAGTGTAGTATCCTTCAGGGGAAAATGTAGTGTGAATTATTCACACAGACAAACAAAAACAAAAAAATCAATTCATGTCTTTTCTTGAATTATTTCGAAAATTAAAGAAAGGACATTTGTATTCTCTCCTTGATAAAAAAATCTGATGTTTAGCTGCAGGGGTCAGACAGGGACTCGACGCTAAAATTCTAAGAGTTATCTTTGCCTCACACTTGTAATAATTATACGGTTTTGATCCAATCTCTGCCACATTATAAAGGCCCTTGACACAAATATGATGCGTAAAATTGCACACACACATTCTTCCCAAAAAGCAGCACTTCCCAAAAGGCCGTGTCAGAGAATTGTGCCGTCAAAGCACTAAAGGGAATGGTGGATGAAATAAAACTGCTGTGAAAGAGCATGACTGATGCTCTACATGACAGGCAGGCCTCAGAGACAAGCAAGTAACACCTCAAATCCACCCCCCCACCCTTCACCCACACACAGGCCAAATCTTCCCCTCCATCTCTCCAGCCCAGTACACCCATACCAGCACTCCATATTATCAGGATGGATTTCTAATCAGTGAAAATGCATTACTTGAACTGCCTTCTGTTTTGCACACACTGACGCACGCAAAATCCCAACACTTATGTCAAATGAAAAAAACGATCACTCGATAACTAATACTAAAATCTAATAACAACAGTAAGAGTCAAGAAACGGACAGTGTGTTTATTCGGCCCGTCATTGAATCCAATATTCCAACCAGCGTACTTCCTAGGGAGATATCACTCTTTACCGGCTTTTCCTCTTGATAGGACTTCATTATTTATGGTTGTAGTGATACGATCGTCTCTTCTGGAGAAGGCAGACACACGCACACACAGCGACGGGAGAGTTGGGAGGGCAGAAGTCTCAAAGGGTAATTAAATCCCTGTGTTGTTTCCAATAGCCAATCAGGGCAGCCATGCAGGTAAAGTTTAAATCACTGCTATTAGGTGAGTTTCTGTAGCACGGATAATATGGGGGTCTCG